CTAAATACTTTTTTGCCCCACTGTATCAGATTCTGTTCTGTTCTGTTCTGTTCTATTCTATTCTTTATTTTAGTTACTTGATTTCTAATGCTGCCCACTTATCGTCAACTTAATTCTGGCAAGACGTAATAGCTAATACTCTGAATTGGACCTGGAAGTCTAATGGCAATGAATGCAGCAAATTCAAAATCGGTGTTCTAGCTTGACAGGATTGTAGTCTGACTGAGTGGCAATCAAGTTGCTGACACTGGAGCATCCTGGATGCTTTATCATGAAGGCCTCTTTTTAGGTGTACTAGCAACATTCAAACTCATACTAATACTTCATGGATGAGATACTCTGATTTATAGTGTAATTCTAGCAGAAAAGCAAGTGCCTGTGGTTTTGTGGTGACCTGTCTCCTTGGAAATGGTTACTTTAGCTTTTGGTTTTTGTTTACTTTAAAAGTAAATTCAGTACTGTAATTGGAACCAGAAGCTATTACAAGACAATAATTGTTGTTACATTGTGATTCCTGCCATTTCTGGGTGGTAGTGGGTTAACCTATTCTTATTGGATGTGTCTGTGACATAATACTGGTAAGAGTCTTCATGGTAAGTGCATACTGTACTTACCTTTCTGCTTCAAGACCTCACTAGGCAGCTGCTGTCTATAAAACAATAGTAAAATACAATTTTGCTACGCTGAGCCATAACTTTACCTTTAGGAATGCGTAGTACCCTTCAGTGAGGTCTTTCAGTATACAAATTTTTTAGCAACTTTCTGAAAGGGTGGGCATCAGATATTTTCACTTGTGTGTATCCCCTGAAATATTCAGTGAAGAGTACAATAAGAATGCCCTTTATTTCTGATACATTTGATAAGCAAATTATTTTTTTATACTGTACAAGTGGCCAGTTAATATTTTAGCTTAGATAATGAAAACCTTTTTTTTTTTTAACTCTTATGTTCCTATTCTCTGTTACAGGTTCAGAGGACTGGGTCCAACAGTGATTGTGTGTCCAACCACTGTAATGCATCAGTGGGTGAAAGAGTTCCATATGTGGTGGCCACCATTTAGAGTTGCAATTTTACACGAGACAGGTTCTTATCCTAACAAAAAGGTACCTGTTTTTTCCTTATTCTGTAACTTCAGCCTTTCAAGCTTTCTTTGCATTTATTAAATAATCCCATATAGGAGCAATCCTTATTTATTTCAAATATTGTATCAACATTTTCTGAATGTTACTCATGAATGTTACTCATAATCAGTATTTTAGCTGTTTCTTCTTTTTTCGGAAGGGGGATATGCGTAAAGTTACAGCCCTCTGACCTGGAGGGGGGATTTGCTTTATTTGTGGGGTGCCTTAAGATTCTACATTGCTTTGATGTCATGTCCCATGAGCATGCCATATTAAAGATCACACTGTGGTGTAAGTCAGGCTAGCAGAAACTGCTTTTATAAATCTCTTCCTACTTCATCCTTCCTCACTTCTTCCTAGGGGACTACTATCGCTTAGAAGGCATGTCTCTTTGTTTTCAGTTTCATAGCCTTCAGAAGCTACACAAGAAATAGGGCCATTGTGGAATGTCTTTCCATAGTTTTGGAATGGTGCATTTGCCATCTTTGCTTCAGGCATTCCACTTTGGTCAATGAACTCCTCTATTTTGGCTGCTATTTGGAGTTCTAGTAGTTAGCCCTACCAATATATATTCCACCCTTGCTCCTTCACGTAACAGGAATATAATTGTACCAAGCTTGGTTCTGCCCTCAGTAGATGAACCAGTACTTACTTTCTGGCTATCTGATTCTCAGAGTACATCTGAAGGTAGTAAGTAAGTAAGAGCATATAGAATGAGACCATGAGTTCCATCAGACACTTTACCCCAATCAGGCTTAATAGCTGGTCATCCAGTATTAATGTTTCACTGATGCAATCTGGTGGTAAAAACTGGTAACTTGTGATACCATGGTTGTCCTTATTCTTCGTAATACCCTGCATCCTGGAAGGAGGTTGAGAGATGTTGATAGTCTTTATTCTGCCAGTCTTGCTCTTACCACTAGAATTCTCTGCTCCTAATAGAACCAAGCTCTAATACCTTCTCAATTGGAGGATCAGGCCTGAGGTAGTATAGCACATAGTTTCTTTCCTCTGTTTTGGGAATACCAATTGTCAAATAGGTTTTATTGGGTAAAAAAATTGTTTTAGATGTTGATAAATGGCATATCTGCAATCCACTGCTGTAAATTAGATGTGGGTTTATTCTTCCAGTATTGCATAGTTATTCTGGCAATCACTCATGTGCAGAAACTGACATTCCTTGATGTTGTAATGGATTTCAGCTAATGGGGAACACAGCCAAGAAGAGCATATTAATATATACGTAGCATTTTGCCTAAAATCACTAGAATAGTGCTCAGGATTTTTGTCCAAACTCTGCCAGAAGTAAGACAAGTCCAAACTATGATAATTAATATCCCCATTCCTGGTGTAGTAGTTAAGGTGTTGGATAGGAGCAGGGAGAACCAAACTATAATCTGTCCTCAGCCATGGAAAGTCACTAGGTAACATTGGGCTACAGGTAGTCTTCAGGTTACAATGGCAATTGGGACTGGAATTGCCGTTGCTAAGCGATGTGGTCATAAAGTGTGACATCACGTGACTGCATTGCTTAGCGATGGCAGTCCTGGTTGCTGTCATAACCCCAAGATACACAGGTCATTAAGCAGGAAGGGTGGGAGTCCCAGGTAATGAGTGCAGGGGAGTGAGGGAGGCTGGGGGAGGGCTTGGGAGGCCCAGTGCAGGCTGCGCATGAGTTGAGGGAGGGCCTGGGAGTGCTGGTAGAGGCTGCGGGCAGGTAGGAGCAACTTACCAGAGTGACTTGCAACCTTCCCTGCCGCCTTCCCCGTTGACTTTGCTTGTGGGAAGCTGGTAGGGAAGATTGCAGATGGCAATCACATGACTGTGACTCCCTGCGATGTCGTAATCATGAGCCTGCAATCACATGATTTCAGGGGTGCCGCAATGGCCCAATCTTAAGGGACTGGTCCATTTTTTCAGCATCGCCGTAACTTTGAATGGTTGCTGAACGAATGGACATAAAGCAAGGACTACTTGTACTTTCTCTCAGCTCAGCCTACCTCATAGAGTTTTTGTTGTGTGGAAAATAGGAGGAAGCACTATATATGCCATACTGATCACCTTAATGAAAGGTGGAATATAAATCTAATAAATATACTATTTAATGTATCCACAGTCAGAAGGTGATTGCAAACAACTCTTATTAAGTTATCTCTGAAGTGTCCAGTACCCATAAATATGTTAAGATAAAAAGTGAAACAAATATAAGAACAGGATATTCAACAAAACTTTTAAAAAGTTCTATTAGAACTGAATCAGATCAAGATTAATAATATTAAGAAAGGTCCAATTGATCAAGCAGATGTATGGAGTATTTTAGTTGGGATTATCGCATAATACAAGGTTTTCATTGGTTAAAAGGTCCCAATTATTCCTGTAATCCAGTATTTTCTTATATATCTTGCAACTTTAGGTGCATGTATTGACACTGATCCCTGAACGTACAAGGGTCTTAATAATAGCCAGGATTTTAATGGGGTGAAGCAGTACTGTAGTTTGCATGCGGAACTATTCTGAATAGTTCCACATACAAACTACTGAATATTCAGCTGAATTCTGAAATACCTTATTCCAGCCACTGACTGATGTTAAAATTAAAGCCCAGGGATCCACTTTGCCAACCATCCTGTAAAATATATGGTGTGAAAATCTCATGATGTCCTGCTAAATTTTACAGGCTTTACCGTTCGTTTTGATTTCCAAGAAATGTAAAGCATGTCATTAAGGAAGCTCAAGGTTTTACAGGAATCATCGAGCCTAACACTTCTTCCCTCTTATTTGCCATTATCTTGCCTCTCTCCCTTCTGATGGGATGAGCATGGTGTTATGGGACCAGTTGTGGAACAATATTTAATAAAGAAATTAACTCAGCAGAATTGAACTTCCATTTAAGGAGTGGCAGAAAGGGGGAAGTACAAACTGGGAACACATTGTGTAGTCCTCTCCACTGAACCCTGCAAGCCCATTTCCTTTTCAGTATTTAAAAGATTTATGGCAAATTTTACATCACCTTAACCTGAAGTGGAGAAGTGGCCGTGATGAATTGCCTTCCTGTGTTTTCCTTCATTGTCAGCACAACTCCTTGTTTAATAAAGTTTTGGCTTGAAGGAAATTTTAATTAATTACAGCTTCAGTAAAACCTGAGTAGGTCTCTGCTGTGCTGTGCCTACAGTGAATGGCCTTCATGTGCCTGTGTTCCTGCTCCTGTTCTCTCTGCTGCCTGACAGTGTGATTTATGAATGTTGTTTTCTACCACTGCACTGATTGCCCTCTAGGAGGGATTGGTCTCCTGAGCCTCTGTAATAACAGCAGCACTTTCGCAGAACATCTTTTAATGACAACGTTGCAGCAGCCTTCTGTAAGTCAGGATAATTGCAGACGTACCCTATTAATTGCAAAATCTAGGAGAGGTTACATATTTTACAAGCTTTTAATTTGAAATCGCCTGAGATGATTTGTTCTAGGTCTGAGTAGAGATTTCTGTAGTATTCTGCCAGAGACCATTGCCACAGGCCAGGATATAAAGATGCATAAATGTAAGTTGAAAACATAACTGCCTTGGAATTACAGTTTCACTGATGGAGGGTTTAAAAGTGACAAATTTGTTCCCTGAATAAGAGGCCTTGTGGTTTTTGAAGAGACTTACTACCAAAAACACCAGTGATGAGGAATTGGTATTATTTTGTTAACTACTACTTAGATTTCCTCCTTTGGAGACAATGTAATTTACAGAGTGATACTGTGATGCTGAAGAGGTCTTCCAATAAATAAAGCTCGTTAGAAGATTTGTGGCCTGGTCAGCAGATAATGAATTCAGAAGTACAGAGGCTCTCTGAGGTAGAATTTTCAAAGAATCCATTCAGTAATGATTTCTGCAAGCTAGGCCTTTTCTCGTTTTAAAGAGAAGTTTAAATAACGTATTTTTATTAAAAACATTGGTACCCATGTATTTTTTGTTGGGATGCAAACTGCAAATTTTCAGAAATTGCCTTTAAGGCTAATAATAGCAGAAAATAAAAGTATGGTATTTAAACAGGCAGGATGGCCGTCTGTTAAGGATGAAGTAGTAGTGGATTCCACAACTGAGAGGGTTGGACTAGATTGGTCTCTGGAATCCTACAGGTATCTACATTTTCAGCCATCTTTATGTTTAGTAATGGCTTCTCAGTTCTATGTATTTCTCTGTACTGTGTTGTTTCTCTATTGTAACCTTATCTGCTAAAAAGAAAAGCATGAGAAACAAACTTACATTGTTTTGTGGATGGGAAAGAAAGAAAGAATTTGAAGGAAGTATTAGACATCCCTGTTGAGGCAAACAAGTACAGTGGGGCAAAAAAGTATTTAGTCAGCCACCAATTGTGCAAGTTCTCCCACTT